CGTCGTGTACGAGCTCAGCCCTACACAAGCTTCTCCCTCTCCTACCGTCCTGCGAGAGTATTCTAGGGTTTCTTTTCCTCCTCCTAACCACAAGAAATTAAAAGAGAATCGAGAAGGGGAAATAACCTGATTCCCGATTCGTTTCACTTTCCTCCGGTTTAAGAATCTTAGTGCGGCAGGATGTGGGGCGTTGCGGCAACGGTAGAGGAAGATAGCGGTGGTGGGTGGGTGAGAAGACGTCGGAGCGGTGGTGGTGAAGGCGGCGGCGGAGGAAACGATCATAGCTAGGGATTTGAAAGAGGAAAGGAAGGAGAAGGCCAGCGAGAGAAGAATGAAGGCGACCGGGAGATTGGTTCGTCCAGACCGGAGATTGAGCCGAACCGGGTAACAATATTTGAAAGACGTAAATTAATATGTTAAGGTTTCAAAATTTTACATAAAAATTAAAAAAAACTAAATAAAATGAAGAAAAAATAATAGATAAATAGAAGGAGCATTTATGTACATGCCACCTAATTTTTTATGTTATTAGGCATCTAATGCCTATTTATATCATCCAAAATTTTCATATTACAAAAATATCACTACTTTAAAGCTTAAAATGTGAAATATATATTTTCATGCATAGAAAAATGGCATATAAGTGAAAATTAAAGTTTGGGCGTGTAAATACATAAAAATTGAATGGTATGTAAGTGAACCTTTCTAAATAGAAAAATGTGCATGATACTTATATATGTTTGTTGAATCCAAAAGTGTCGAGGAAACATACCTAAGAAATAAAACGAAAGAGAGAGAGAATAGAATAGTGAACGTTAAATGTGGGTATCATTTATTCATGACATGGATCACTATTTATAGGCATAAGTTTTAACATAACAAAAGTACATCTTACTTCCCTCATCATCAACTTTTTAGGGGGCTTTTGGGTAATTACAAAATTATTCACATGCATAAGATTGGGGACTTCGATCGATGAGGTTGTCAATTATCTGGTAAACCTTGACTCGATCAATATCTAGTCCGAAAGAGTGATCACCATTGATCGTCCTGAAGACTGATTAGTGCCCTGTGAGAGCTATTCCTGACGCCTTCCCCGATCGTTCGAATAAGACGCTTCTCTTGTCAATATACAGCCAAAAAATGATCGTCCAAGGTTATGTTCGATCGACCGCATCTTCTTCCTGAGTTGTTCATCTGTCTTGAGATTCATGCTAATATATATATATATATATATATATATATAACAGTTCCTCGATTCTCTTGCTCCTCGAAAGTTGTACAATACATGAGGATAAGAGAATCTTTTTTAACGTGTATAAAATAATTAAATGAAATTATTGCACAATAATGGACTTCGTTGGATTTTCGTGCCCGGGCTATTATAAATAGGCTTTGGGACAAGGGAGATTTACACCGTCTTCATTTCTTCTTGCTCCATTCTCTAGTTTCATTCTCTTTTCACATTTTTCGCAATGTCTGGTGAAGATGCGTCACCTTCTGATAAGTGTCCTCCTTAAAGTCATGAGTGATATGCGGTGGCAGGCTCGTAAGTTGGACGTGAAGCGTAAGCCCAAGTGAGGTATCCGCGGAAGAGGTGAGTAGGAAGAGAGTTGTGCCCAAACCAGAAACCAACGATCGTGAGAGCTAACCTGGTTCTTCTGGTTTCCTTGTGGGCTAACCACATGAGAGGGCTGCAGGGAAGGCTAAAGGTCATCCTAATGATCATCCCACGAGACATTCTCCAGGGGTGAGGTGAGTGTTCCTACTACGTGAGAGATATGTCCAAGTGAACTGCAGAGCCGCGATTTCCCAGGGGGATCTTGAGAAGGCAATGATTGAGGCTGAGACATGGTTTTGGTCGACTAAGAGAGGTTTTTCTTTTGAAGGTGTAAGACAAAGGAAAGCCAGTGAATACATTTTTACTTACGCCACATCTAAATGGGGGCAGATACTTGGTATGTAGCTTGAATCACGTTTTAAATTTTTTTTCCTGGTGCAACAATTGAAGTCGACTATTGATTCTATATCAATAATTATTGATGTTGGTCCTGAGGATGATGCGACGGTTGTGGACCAGGTTGCGTTTAAGGAAGTGAATACGAAACATGTTGTTGCAGAGAGAGCGGATATGGAGGGACTAAGCATACTGGAGCAAGGTGATGAGCAGGATGTCGAGGGTCAGGAGTTGAAAGGCAAAGGATGCAGGGATACTTATCTCTTGGTGTGGGCCAGAGTGCTAGCCGACAAGTTTCTTCCGGTTCTGCGAGGGAAGAGGAGGCGACTGAGGGGCACTGTATTTCATTTGACTTCATACTTCGTTGCCTTGTAGAGATGGATGAGAGTTTTCTTCGCTTTATGGGGTATCCTCAAGAAGATGGTGACAGAAGAATTACTTAGGATCTTGAGAGAGTCAATCAGGTGGAGAGGGAACTTGTTGCGATGCACAATGAACTTGTGGTTGCTTGTCGATCCTGGGAAAGTGACGAGTCTATGTTTGGAACTGTGTCCTTTAAAGAGGTCCTCGCCGCTCAGCCCAGGGATATCCATAATGACTTTTTCAGGCTGGGCAACAAGTTTATGTATGAATGGCTTCGTCATCGAGGGTTTTTCTCCAGCGAAACCGTGAATGATCGCTTAGTGAGTTTTTTCCTTCCTCATTTGCGACTGAGGGTTTGGCGCTACCACCCCCGCTTTTTTTGTGTATATAAATAAATAAGGAATGAAATAAAATAAAGTAATTTTCTATTTCTAGTAAAGAATACTTTACTTGGTAACATATAGTTTTGTCGCATCAATCTTGTTTGCGGTGTTTAGCTTCCCAAGTATCCCCTTTCACATTTATATACATATGTGGTCCTGCAATCGCTGAGGGAGTTGTTCCTTTTCCTCCTACATTCTTTTTCTTCCCCTGGTTATGTCGTCATTTTTTCCCTTCTCTGGGTTTTGTTATTCTCTTCTTCTTCTTTCCTGCATAGTATCGTAGGCTCCATGGTTCAGAAAGACTCTAGAAATCATTTGGTTTGATTCCTGCTATGGAGGTTTCGGTCCTATTTGCACAAACATAGATAAGATTTATAATCGTTGTGTTCTTGCTCCAATGATTCTTCTGCGACCGACCACTAGCCACGAACTGGTTATGACTAACTTCTCTCTTGACATCGTCTTTTATAAGATCACTTTAGGATGGGCATTCAGTTGTTGTTTTGTCAAGAGTTGCGGTCAATATTCAATCGTTATGGTATCAAGCTTGCTCAGATCCTTCCCAACTCAATTGCTGCCATCATGACTTTTGTGCTCTTCTGTTGGAGGATGAAAATCTTGTTGTCGATCGAACTCTTCAATCATTTCTTTTCCTTTTGGGTTATTTATGATGGATATATTCAGTTCATCGTCGACACTAAAATTCAATTGTTGGGGCTTGAGAACAGGGTGAAGGAGTGGAAGACGAAGTTCTTGATTGCCTCGTGTGAGGAGGATGGAGATTTGCACTTCTCCTATGGAATGTAAAGTGAAGAAAGTAAAGACCTTGTCAGGGAGTGTTTGAAACCATAGGACGCTAAGTAAGGGTCGGGGCTTATCTTTGTTTCAATACCTTGACCCCAACTTGATCAAACACATGGTTCACCTGGATGGTGTTGATACTATGACTGAGGATTTGTGGCGATCGACCGACAATAGAGAGTTTACTCGAGACAGAGTTGCTGGAGAGGGTGTGGCTTTGAAAAGGACTCGGGTGTGAGGTGGTCCTCCCTCACTCTACAGAGGTCGGGGTCGGTCCGACTCGATCAGGTGAGCTGAGAGGGATGATGGAGGTTGGTGTTAGTTATCTTCTTGTCTTTTGGTATGTGAACTGCATTTTTGAGACATTTGCGTAATTTGTTATGTTCTTCGGAAGGGAGCGAGGGGAACTCTTCTTGACTGCCTAGCATTCCTGAGTCTGGAGGCCCATTAGTGCAGGTTTCATGAGGGACTCCGGGATTTCCTCGTGATTCATGGTACTGAGAGGATCGGGAGTATGGGGCTTTCGTTTGTCTCCTATGATCCTCGTGATGGGGGTGTAGTTTTTACTGGAGGGACCTTTGTAACGGAGGCGTATGATCAGCCTTAAGCTTTGTTTAGCGGCATCATTTGTTTAGGGGCGTCCAACTATCTTGCAATTACCTCTTCTAGTGTCTCTATTCGGTTGGTTCTAGGGCATTCTCATAGGTGGTGATGTGCTTGTTGGCCATCTCTAGCACTTCGATCAAGCTCTATGGCTCTGTTAGCTCGAGGTTAAAACGGAATCTCTCCGACATCACTCCTTGTGACAACACGACTTGGGCCATATCGGGCTTTAATTCCCTGAAGTCCTCTGAAAGCGTGCGATAAATGACTGCAAGCTCTTGTTGGTTACCTGCTTCAGTTGCCACATGGACCAGACCGCTCTTCTTAGATCTCAGAACACTGACAAACTGTGATAGAAAGAGTTTTCTGAATTTTGCAAAACAGGTGACTAATCCCCACAAGCAAATCCGTTGAACCATCTTAATGTGATTATTCTCAAAGTCGTGAAGAAGAGTTTACATTTGAGGGCATAAACAATTTTCAACAGACATACAAACGATTCTAACGATGAGAGGTGGTCGTTTGGATCTGACCGTCCTTTATATAGCTCTAAGATCGACATCTTAAACTTCTTCGGAGGTTCAAGTCCATAGACCTATAGGGAGAAGGTGTTTTTCGACTGCCTTTGTACCTTGGTCCGCACTGGTTGGTTTCTCTCCTCCATGAGGGTAGATCTGATGTTGTCTTGGTATAGATCGTCGTCATGCTTTTCCTGCAGGTGGATCACCCTCCTTCCATTATTGACTGGTGGTTCCCTTAAAAGGGTTTGAGTGCTCCTTGTCGTGCTAGCTCTTCTTCTAGAACTGGGGACGCAACTTGAGCAAGGACCGCTCTAACTACTTCTGCAAACAGTCTTGACATCTGGTTAGTGATTTGAGTTCTCAAATCTTGTAGGCCTTGTTGAACGAATTCTTGCATAAACTCTTGAATGTATGCTGCTTCTTCTACATTCCTATGACTGGACTCTCCATGCTCTTGTTGCTAGGCTCCTCTTCTTATTGATGACATGTTTCAGTGCTCACCGCACCTTAAAGAATGTTGAATACAAAAGTATCCGAGAAACACACCCAAGGAATACAAGGTTCAGTTAGGAAGTGATTAGAGAGAGAGAGAGAGAGAACACAACAAGGAATAGTAAAAGAGAGTACTCTTTATTCATGTCATGGATCCCTATTTATAAATATATATCTTGACATTACTAAAGAACATATTAGCCTCCTTATCATTAACCTTTTAGGGGAACTTTTTGTTAATTACAAAATTATTCACATATAATAAGATCGGAGCCTGAACCAATCAATGAGAGTTGTAGATCGTCTAGTAAACCCTAACTCAATCAATATCTAATTTGAAAGAGTGCACCCTGTCGATTGTCCTGAATGCTGATTACCGTCATGCGAGAGCTTCTCCTGGCATCTTTCGCTGATCATTCGAACAAGACAATTCTCTTCCAGCTAAAAAAACAATCGTCGAAGGCTATGTTTGATTGGTTGCATCTTCTTCCTAAGCCATTCATCTATCTTAAGATTCATGCTAGCATATTTTTACATGTACAATAATAAATTTAAAACTATATAGTACTTTATTTAATTATTTGGAATTTTACATGCTATTCGATTCTTATGTATATGCATATCTAACACAAGGCTTTGATATTTATATTTATAACATTTTGGTTATAATTGTGTATTTCCCTTTTAAAAAATTATTACTAATAATATTTTTGATATGATGTTAAAGATTTGATTGGTATGAGTGTAAATATAAAAGTCTAAACATTAGATGTATAAATATAAAAGAATTGTATGATATATACCTAAATGCCTCTTAATTTCTCTCTCTTAATATAAATTATAGAGGAGGAGGATATATATATATATATATATATAACTTTATGTATTTTATTTTTTAATACGTGCACATTTATGTTTATTTATATAAAAATAAGTTATTTAAATCGCATTAAACACAACAAATATTAAGTAATTTAAAATAAGACACATTTTTAGGCCAAAAAAAAAAAAGCTTTTAGTAAATATAAATACGTAATCATTAGATTTACAAATACGTAAGAATTCTATGACATGTAAGCACACTTAAAAAAGAATCTCCTACATAAACATTGGACCTACAACATTGAGCGGATGGTGACCCTCAATTAGGTTTGACAAATCTAACTTGGTTCTTGATGCTCTTTATCATGCCATTGAAGAGGCTGTCTGTTTGCCAAATAAGATATATATATATATACGCATGAGAGATGACCGGAGCGGATATCATAGCCTCCTCCGGCCATTCCTTATATATATATATATATATATATAAATTTGAAAGGGAAGAAATAGTTTGTAAAAAACAAAATATCATATTCCAGAAATATTGAAGAAAGCTGTCAAATTTGAATTCAATATGATTTTACAATCAAGCTCAACAAAATGATAAATCCTAGTTAAATTCATAAATTTTATGAGGGTCATCCTAACCACTTGTTTGAGAGGTTGGTTAACCCTTCAATCAAGAAGCCTTAGTTTCAAGAAAAAAAACGTGCGTAGCAAATGAAATCACGTCACGATACCTCGCGCGACACAGAAAAAAAAAAAAACATAGTAACACGGGGAATATTCCCCCCCGTGTTATTCATGTGTTATTGTGTCCTGAAAATATTTCTGGTGTTATAACAACACAATAATACATGAATAACACATGAATAACACACAATAACATAAGAATAACACGGGAGAGAATATTCCCCCGTGTTACTCCGCCGTTTTTATCTCTGTCGAGATATTTCACGTGTTATTCAAGTGTTATTGTGTGTTATTCATGTGTTATTGTATGTGTTATATATTCCTGGTGTTATAATAACACAAT